ATTTTAACACAATTAGATGTCTTGCCCACATTATTAATTTGATTGTACAAGAAGGACTGCCAACAATCTCAACAGATTTAGAAAAAGTTGAGATGTTGGTGAAAAAAATTCATAAAAGTCCTTCCTTGATGCAGGATTTTGTTGATATTTGTAATTGCAAAATTCCATTAGATGTGTCAACTAGGTGGAATTCAAAGTATCTCATGCTTAGTAAAATTAATAAGGTATTAATATTAATATTTAATTTTTTTACTGTTTGATTTATAGAATTTAGAAACTATTGTTAAAATGGGGAAAAGATGTATCAATGAAAATTTTTACATTAATACAGATGAGAGTAGAATGTTAAAAGATATAGAGGATTTTTTATATCCTTTTTATAAAATAACGTGCGAGATAAGCACGAATACATCTACAATAGGGATGTATGCACTATATTTAGATACGATTCAAATATTACTGGTAACAAGTATTGAAACCAGTAATAATAATGTTATAGTAGAATCGTCTAGATCTATGTTGGCTAAATGCCAAAAATATATCAATATTATGGACAATTTCGAAATATATGTGTGTAGTTTTCTTGATCCACGTATCAAGAAAACATTCATACCTTTATGGATGAACAAAGAATGTTATTATGAAAAATTGATTGCTTTATATGGTAAATACCGGTGTAATATATCGCCAGAAATATCAGAAAAAGACGATAATTGTGAAATGATGTCAATAACTATCTTAAATAGTCTGAGAAGGTATATATTTAATATTCTATAACTATTTTAAATTTTCTCAAAGTTGATATATTTAATTTTAATAATTTATTTTATATTTTTAGGAAAGCCTCGTTAGTTCCAATGGTGAACGAGATCGCCGAATACCTAGCTGATCCAGTAGTCTCAGCAACGACTACAGTGTTGGATTGGTGGAGCTGTAATTCTGAGCGTTTTCCGTACCTTTGCATGATGGCTAAAGATTTTTTGTCGCAGCAAAGTACATCCGTTGAGAGCGAGCGTGTCTTCTCAAGAGGGGTGGACACCGTAACAAAGAAAAGAAATCGCATGGCCTCCGAAACACTTAAACAGTGTTTATGTTTGATTCATGGGATATCAATATCATGAATAATAAATTTTATACATAATTTTTATATCTATATATATTGTTAAATTAAATTTTTTGTACATTAATAAATATATATAATTTAAATAAAAATATTTAAACTATAAATGTATCAAATATTTAAGATGATTTGAGCTTAGTATTCTTGTTTCAGGCTGTTGTTTTTTATGAATACTGGAGAATATTAGTGTTTTAATATTATTTGACTTAAATTGATAACTAAAATAGTTTTTGATATTAAGATTTAGAATTTTGAACACTTGAGAAAAATTAAAAATTAAAATTGATACTGGGATTAACTTTGAACCATGTTATAAAGCGCTATACTTTTTTTCAGGCGTTAATTATTCACTATTTTATTAAGAAGAATATTATGAGAGCAATTTTTCTCATAGATTATATAAAGGTATAGATATCTATTATCGTAATTTCAGGATTAGTCAATATTTTTCTTGCTAAATAGGCTTATAACGAGAGATTTTAAATATTAAATGCATATAAAAATTATTAAGATATATTTATAATTAATTCCAAAATCTTAATCCTTTAAATTAATAATTATAAATCTACACAATCTAGTTTTCCAATATAATTTAAAATGTCATCGATAGAGATTGATATAAAAGATATTGGTGCAGATAATATATACAAAGTTATTTCTCTGTACAATGATATGTAATTTCCTTCATGAAATATCGCATAAAATTTATTCTCGAAAAAAAACAAGGTATAAATATCATTGTAAGATGTGCCAAGTAAATTTTATCCTAACTAGAAACTTCAAAGAGGAAATATTTTAATATCCTTAAACTTAAAAATATAATATGAATAAAACATAGATGAGTTTATGTGATAGTTGATTTTCTGACCCAGTCTATGACAATAACATATTTAAGAATTTTTTTATAAATTAAAATTACAAGAAATATATTAGCATCTCATTTTATCACTCAAAAATTATTATGTACCTTACTACTCGTATATATAATAACATTTTTTGTCCCTTATCTATGATACTTCCTCACTGATATTTTAATTTAACATGTTTAGGATATATATTTTTAGTTATTTGCTTTAAAAAAATTGGAAAAAGTTTAAAAATAACGATTATGACAATTGTCACCTATCTATGATACATCCTCTTAAATTTTTAATTTAACATGTTTAGAATATATATTTTTAGCTATTTCCTTTCAAAAAATTTGAAAAAGTTCAAAAATAGCAATTAAGACAATTGTTACCTATCTATGATACATCCTCACTGAATTTTTAATTTAACATGTTTAGAATATATAATTTTAGCTATTTCCTTTAAAAAAATTTGAAAAAGTTCAAAAATAGCGATTATGACAATTGTCACCTATCTATGATATATCATCACTGAATCTTTAATTTAACATGTTTAGTATATATATTTTCAGATATTTCCTTTAAAAAAATTTGAAAAAGTTCAAAAATAGCGATTATGACAATTGTCACCTATCTATGATAAATCTTCACTGAATTTTTAATTTAACATGTTTAGAATATATATTTTTAGATATTTCCTTTAAAAAAATTTGAAAAAGTTCAAAAATAGCGATTATGACAATTGTCACCTATATATGATACATCCTCACTGAATTTTTAATTTAACATGTTTAGAATATATATTTTTAGCTATTTCCTTTAAAAAAATTTGAAAAAGTTCAAAAATAGCGATTATGACAATTGTCACCTACCTATGAAACATCATCACTGAATTTTTAATTTAACATGTTTAAAATATATAATTTTAGCTATTTCCTTTAAAAAAATTTGAAAAAGTTCAAAAATAGCGATTATGACAATTGTCACCTATCTATAATACATCATCACTGAATTTTTTATTTAACATGTTTAGAATATATATTTTTAGATATTTCCTTTAAAAAAATTTGAAAAAGTTCAAAAATAGCGATTATGACAATTGTCACCTATCTATGATATATCTTCACTGAATTTTTAATTTAACATGTTTAGAATATATATTTTTAGATATTTCCTTTAAAAAAATTTGAAAAAGTTCAAAAATAGCGATTATGACAATTGTCACCTATATATGATACATCCTCACTGAATTTTGAATTTAACATGTTTAGAATATATATTTTTAGCTATTTCCTTTAAAAAAATTTGAAAAAATTCAAAAATAGCGATTATGACAATTGTCACCTACCTATGAAACATCATCACTGAATTTTTAATTTAACATGTTTAAAATATATAATTTTAGCTATTTCCTTTAAAAAAATTTGAAAAAGTTCAAAAATAGCGATTATGACAATTGTCACCTATCTATGATACATCATCACTGAATTTTTAATTTAACATGTTTAGAATATATATTTTTAGATATTTCCTTTAAAAAAATTTGAAAAATTTCAAAAATAGCGATTATGACAATTGTCACCTATATATGATACTTCCTCACTGAATTTTTAATTTAACATGTTTAGAATATATATTTTTAGATATTTCCTTTAAAAAAATTGAAAAAAGTTCAAAAATAACGATTATGACAATTGTCACCTACCTATGATACATCCTCACTGAATTTTTAATTTAACATGTTTAGAATATATATTTTTAGCTATTTCCTTTAAAAAAATTTGAAAAAGTTCAAAAATAGCGATTATGACAATTGCCACCTATCTATGATACATCCTCACTGAATTTTTAATTTAACATGTTTAGAATATATATTTTTAGCTATTTCCTTTAAAAAAATTGAAAAAAGTTCAAAAATAACGATTATGACAATTGTCACCTACCTATGATACATCCTCACTGAATTTTTAATTTAACATGTTTAGAATATATATTTTTAGCTATTTCCTTTAAAAAAATTTGAAAAAGTTCAAAAATAGCGATTATGACAATTGTCACCTATCTATGATACATCCTCACTGAATTTTTAATTTAACATGTTTAGAATATATATTTTTAGCTATTTCCTTTAAAAAAACTCAAAAAGGCTCAAAAATGGCGATTATGACAATTGTCACTTATCTATGGTACATCTTCACTGAAATTTTGATTTAACATGTCTACAATATATATTTTTATCTATTTCATTTAAAAAAGTTCAAAAATAACCATCATAACAAATGGCTCTTTTCTATGGTGCATTTTCACTTAAAAATTTAAAAAAATAACTATGATGAATAGTTAATCCAGAGTATTATAATTTAAAGAAGCTTTAAGTAACTTTCCCGCCTATAATATTAATATATACTAAATGTTATTTGACTTTTGGTCAAAAAAAATGATCTAGATATTGGGTTAAGGGTGAAAAAAAGCAACCCTAACTTTAAGTCGACTTTAAAAAAAAAGATCCATATTTTGGGTCGGATTGAATAAAACGACCCGATGTTTGAGTCTGAGTCAGAAAAACGACCCAAACTTTGAGTTGGAGTCGAAAATACGACCCAAACTTCAAGTTTGAGTCGAAAAATACGACCCAAACTTCAAGTTTGAGTCGAAAAATACGACCCAAACTTCAAGTTTGAGTCGAAAAAATATGACCCAAACTTCAAGTTTGAGTCGTAAAAAACGACCCATATTTTGGGTCGAAGTCGAAAAAAACGACCCAAATTTTTAGTCGGAGTCGTAAAAAACGACCCATATTTTGGGTCGAAGTCGAAAAAAACGACCCAAATTTTTAGTCGGAGTCGTAAAAAACGACCCATATTTTGGGTCGAGGTCGTTTTTTTTGGCTTGGACTTGGGTCGGAGTCGAAAAAAACGACCCATATTTTGGGTCGAAGTCGAAAAAAACGACCCAAACATTGAGTCGGAGTCGAATAAAACGACCCGAGCTTTGGGTCGGGGTCGCGACTCGTGGCGTTTTAACAACACTACCTATAAGTCATTATTAAAAGGTTCAATGCTGAGAGATCAAAAATTATCTGTGTAATCTATACCTATCTGTCGAAGGAGTTAAAAAAATATATAAAAAATAATGTTTATATTTATGTTATATTAATCATTTATTGTATATTTTAATTAGTTAATTTTATATTTTAAAAACTGAAAGAAGTTTTCAATAAATTAAATTTAATTTTTAATTAATGTAAATCATAAATTAAACTAAAAAGCTGAATTTTATCATTTGAATATGAAAGAATTGGATAAATTGATATCTAGAGAAATTTTAGAGGTTTTTCTATAATATCAAGATTCTTTCCACTAATAAAATGAAACCACGATTGTGATGTAAAAAATAGTTATAGTGATACAATCAAAAAATTATTGGGTAATCTCTTAGAATTCATGAATAAATATGATGGGAGAAACAATGTAGTAAATGTTTATAATGTAGAAAATAATTTAATAAGTAAGATATATTTTTTTATTAAATGGCATATATATCTAAATCTGAAATGAGAAAGCTTGTTAAGGCTTATCTTCATGTGCTTTATATTCATATCACCTATAAGTTCAATAATTATATATATATCCTAAATATATATCATCTATTTTATTTTTTAGATGATTGCAGCTTAAATGTTCCATGGATAATTTAAAAAGAATTAGATTCACTTCAAAATTTGATAATAAAAAGAATATTTAATAATATTTTGTTATTATAAATTCCAATATATTGTATTTTATTAATTACTTAGTAAAATATTACAAGTCCTTATATAATTTTTAATCTAGATTAATTTATATATCCTCCTATAATTTTGATTATATAAAATAATTATAATATTTAAATTTCGAAGTCAAAAATAATTGTATACTAATTTTATTCTTAATTAGTAAAATTGTAATTACAATTATATTTATAATAGACATTTTTCTTTAATATAATAAAACAATTTGTAATACAATAAATAACAAAATAAATCTTTTAGCTCCCTAACTAGTGGATAGCCCATCAAAAATGACGGGGTTAGAGAATTTTCTTCGTTCTTTTACGAAAGATGTTACTTATTTATAATTATAATTTTTATACTTTTAACCTCCCTCCTTCAGATCAAGTCCAACCCATATTAATACTAAGAGTGAATACTATTTATTGATTGAAAATATTAAAATTAGCTTTCAAATCAAATCAAAATTATTTGTTAAAATATTATTGATTACCTATAGCTAATATTTAATATTATAAAATCCCAACCCAGGTCCCAGCCCACAATATTTTTGAAAAATTTCTCTAAACCCGGGTCAAAATATAATAATTTTGATAATTCAGAACAAAAATAAATTTTAAAAAAATAATGCATTAATCAGAGATCCTCATGGTCCTTTATTTTGATCAGGACCGGCCCAGGCCTGGGAAAATTTTTTTTAGCCTATGTCTGGTTCATATTATATATTAAAAAATTTCCAAGCGTTCAAGACCTTAATAATTTTGAAAAATATTTAATTTTAAAATTTCTCAAACCTGGTCCAAATAATAAAAAAATTTTCCAAGCCAGGCCCATAATAATCTGTAAAAGATTGTTCCAAGCCAGGTCCAAGCCCATATTAATTTTGAGGAATATTTTCCAAGCCCAGCCAAACCCGTAATAATTTTGAAATATTTTTTTTAAGCCAAATAGTTAAATTTCTAATTGATTTATCATAGCCGGGCCTTAGGCTGAAGGAAATGCAGCCTGGGAATTATAAATGGCATGAAATCAGAAATTCCCATGAATAACAAATGGCGAAGGATGACAAACCAGGAGATATCAGAGTGTAAATAAAAATATAATAAGGGTATGTGGTTAAGAATGGATATTAAAAAAATATTATAAATTTATGTATTGCCATAATATAATTAAGTATATTTTCGTAGGCTAATTTTATTGAGAAGGAACCATGAGAAATAAAAATTATACAAATATTATATGAAAAATAATAATTATTTATGTAAATTAAGATAAATATTGTTTGGAGAATCATTTTGGCAAGTTTTCTATAATGTAGGATCGTAGAGAATATAATTTGTTTTTAAATATTTAAAAAAGTAACGTTTTTCCATTTTTGAATTGGAATTTTCCCCTTTTCATTGGATCTTTTACTTTTTTGATAGAATCTTTTCCTTTTTTGATCAAACTTTTAACGGGAAATTAACGGTGACTAAGAATGATAAGAAGAAATGGAAAAGAAAAATAGAAAGAAGAAGAGAAATGAAAGCAATTGGGAAAGGGAAGGAAAGGGAAAAAGAAAAATAGAGGAAAATGGGGTAATGAAAAGTGAAATAAAAAAATAGAGAAAAAAGGAAAGTGAAATAAAAAATAGAAAAAGAGGGAAAGTGAAAGGAAAAATAGATTAAAAGGGAAAAGTGAAAGAAAAATGAAAAGGAATGAAAAAGGGTAAGGAAAAGAAAGAGCAAAGAAAAGAAAAAAGGAAAGGAGGAAAAAAAATGTAAAGGGAAAGAAAAAAATAGTAGAAGGAAAAGAAAATGGAAAATCTGGAAAGGAGGAGTGAGAGGATAAGGCAAATAGAAAGAAAATGGAAAGGCAAGGGAAAGAGTAAGAAGTAAAGAAAGGGGAAAGAAAAAGGTTGGAATGAAAAGAAAGGGGGGGGGGGGAGGTGAGGTAGGATTGTTAAAAATCTGATTTATATCGATTTTTAAAAACAAATTAATTATTTTAGCCAAAAAAATATGTAAGACTGAAGATTTTGATTGTAGATGGCAAAAATGTTTGCACCTATATTTTGCTAAATTTTGAGGCTTATATAATATTATTTTGCTTAAAATAATAATAGGGTTATTTTTGTAAATCGACTTAAATCAGCATTTTAATAACCCTATAATTGTTGAAAGGTAAAGAAAAAAGGTAGAAAAGGAACAGAGAAAGAGAAAGGAAAAAAGAAAGAAAAAGGAAAGAATAAATACAACTTATTATTATTTTTATTGAAATAAAACCTGTAGAGGAGTCAGCTAGTATTAATACCCTTTAGAGAGCATATCCAGTGTAGTGAATTAATATCCACTGATTGGAAAAATAAAACCCGGGGTGAGGGGCTCCTTGTTGCTAAATCCACCTAACAACACTTTGACAAGAATGAAAATAGACACCCTTAATAAAATGTGTATTTAAAATTTTCCTCCCTTTAAATGATATTTATGATATATAGCTTTATCATTAAATAAATATTTTAAGAGTTTAAGAGGTTATTATATTTTGATTTTATAAATTTATAAAATGCTTTAAAAAAAAATAAATATTGAAATTTAAATGATGATTGATCTATTTAAAAATAAAATAAATAAGAAAATTAATTTTAAATATTGTAATATAATTGATATAATTAAAATGTATCATATTTTATTTTACATTGGTGAATAATTGTTTTCACTAGTAGCTTCTTGAGTGAGAGTGGTAAGTAAAAATATTGGTATCATATTGTATTTTACAATGAATTGGTGAATAATTGTTTTCACTGATATCAGCTTGTTGAGTGAGAGTGGTAATATCATCTTGCATAGCTTTATAATTGATATAATAAAAATATTATGCAAATTTTATAAGATAAATTAAAATGATTTGTAAAACTTTGTAAAGATAAATTAAAAGAATATTTAAGGTTTTACTTTGGCATCCTACAGTGCATGGTTAACTGAAGTTATAGGCTCATCTGTTAGTATATATTGAAAAAAAAAATTAACAAATATTAAATAAATATGTATCGATGACATGACGTAGTGATGACGTAATGAGAACATCGGAAAATTATGATATAGATAATATAAAACTCTACTATTACAACGCTATTCTATAACACACGCAATTTACCAAAACACAACTCCAAAACTAAAATTAATAAATTTTCAACTTTAAATTTTATTGGCCAACAAAATATATATCTACAAAAAAATATATATATATAAAATGAAGAAGTTGTTATGATAAAAAATTTTGTCCTTTTATTCGTATTTGGGACAAAGAAATCACAATTTCTACACATGATATATAAAATCAGGCGACTATTTTAAAACGATAAAAATTAAACAAAATAATTATTAAAAATAAATATATTTAACACTAATACATGAGTAAGCAATATAATTTTAAATATAATAAAACATGTCCTCCATAAATGAGCTCATTCGGCACCCATATTGTTCGCTCCGTTATGACTTTAGAATATGCACACTTTTAGAATCTAATTCATCATGGTTTCTCTCAATCGTCTCAAATATTCAATTTTAAATTTTGAATTTCTATTATTAATTAATTATAATCTATTTTATTATCAATTAACTATCAAATGTGATTCAAAATTTTGATAATATATTAATTTTTCCCTTTTATTTACCCCATTCGATTCCTTGTCTGAATTGTTATATTATAGAAATTAATAAATTAAAATATTATATATTTTGGTTATTGAATAGTATTATGTTTTAATTTATGTAACGCGCATTCATTTAATTCTGTTTATTCAAATTATATTTTTATTTTAGTTATACTTTTATTTTATAAGTTAACCTTTTTAATATTATATTCTAATTTTAGTTTGTAAAAAATATATAAATAGTAGATTGAAAAAGTAAATAAATGAACATTTTAATACATTCTTTATTTTAGTGTTCCGAGGTTTCTTTCTTCATGATGCCCCGGCTCTGGGTGATGGACTTGAAGAGATGACCAATGCCTAATCTAATGAGATGTCCAATGCCTAATCTAATGAGATGTCCAATGCCTAATCTAATGAGATGACCAATGCCTAATCTAATGAGATGACCAATGTCTAATCTAATGAGATGACCAATGTCTAATCTAATGAGATGACCAATGTCTAATCTAATGAGATGACCAATGCCTAATCTAATGAGATGATCAATGACTAATCTAATGTGATGACCAATATCTAATCTAATGTGATAACCAATGCCTAAGCTAAGGAGATAACCAAGAACCAAAAAATTTCCCTAGCACGTTATTTCATGCCAAAAGCTTCTTTCTTCATGGTGCACCGGCTCTGGGTGGTGGACTGGAATATGATGACCAACACCTAACCTAATGTGACGACCTAGAAAGAACTATGGAAGTTGGACGTTAGGCTATGAATTTTATATGGTGAGACC